CACCGCCATCCCATCTATAAGCAGAAACCCACAGCTCCTGGCATGAAAGAAGTGCATGATGCTGATAAATGGTTAAGTAAGTGAACACCTAGTCCATTTTCTAACACATACCATACACTGTAGAAACAAAGACAAGTGAAAGTGTAATATTTGCATATATATATACAAGCAGGAAATTTGATCTAAACTACTGGACACAAATAAATTTGAAGACCTTTTCTAACTCATGACCTCAAAATCTTTTCATGTCTTAGCACCTTGAAATGTACTTTTCCATTATGCTACTGGCAACATCCTGGGAGCAGAACTAGGGGACTGAGCACATCACTAAAACAATGTCACTGGACTCCAGAAAAGAGCCACAGAAGAGAGCCACAGACAGGGGGCTGAGGCAAGACCGTGAGACATTTATGACTGTTCCACATCTGATTCTCATACACTCCAGAGGCACACCGAGCTCTGGAAACTGAGGAAGAGATGCAATGAGACCAACCCCAAACAGCAGAGGACAACTTGCTGGCGTCCATTAGCCAGGCCTGCACGCTGTCCCCAAACACAGGCTCTGCCAAGAAGACACCCCACTGTGTCGCGTATACTCATCACCATCCAGTGTCACCGATGCTGAACCACACTTTGTATGAGGGGTTCAACCAAACAGAGGAATCAGGTGTGGTAAGAAGTGCAGTCTGCTGCTAGCTCCTCTGCACGCTCTCCCCTCAACAGCAATGCTAGATTCTGAAAAAGGAAAAATATGAATATGCTAAGAGAATCTTGATGGTTCCCTAGCCCACGCCTCCCTTTTTCTTCCCATAGCCTCCCATTCTACGCAAACGTTGCTTCCACAATGACTTGGTCAATTCACATGAACCTGTTGAATACAGTCAGTAACAGGGAGTTCACTATGGCTCTAAGCAGAGGGCCCACAGCCTGACCTATCTGCTGTACTGTGAACTGTTTGCTCTCAGACCATAGAGCCCATCACAGAAGGCCACATACACATCTGAAGTCCCCACAGCCCAGATGTCGCACCAAACCCCAAGGACTTGACTGCTCTGAGATGAGACACCACACAGATTGTAAGCAAGGCTAAAAGGAGGTGCTTCAACCAATTCCTTCCCAGAAGCAAGGACACCCTCAGCTGCCTTTTAATCATGCCTCAGCTGCTGAGGAAGTGGCAGAAATCTCTAAACTGCTGTCAAGACAACCAAAGTCCAAATATAAATGACTTTGGGATCCAATCCGGAAGCAGATTTTAAGTATATACACAAAGCACGCCCAGAAGAAATAAAATAATAAAAGAAAAGGAAGATCCTCTCTTCCCCCATCCTCCCTCCTCTTGTTTTTTGCCACATGGTAATGTGTGTTAAAAATGCATACTGGGAAGCTTTCCACCTTTGGGGTTGGAACAGCTGCTGCCTCAATATTGTTTTTGTTAGTTTTTTTTTTTTTCTTAACATACTTTGCTGTTTTTGAGGGTGTTGTTTTTAAGCTACTTGTTTCATAATACTAGTTGACATTACAAAGTGTGACAATAGATGCTTTATTGGCTAGAATGGAACTTGGGGTCCTGGGGGTCCACTGAGGACTCTACCCAGAGTGTTTCCATCAAACACACCCTCCTGCATGGCTAGCTTCCACAGATGGCTTGATTTATGCAAAAAAAAAAGGGCATTCACAAAGGCTGGCTGGGTTACTGCCACATGGGATAAACATAACTAAGTCTGCCCAGGAAGAAATGGGGGCTAAGGATTGACAATAGGTACCCTACATAATTTCAATGCTCAGGGGTCCTTGGTTTTTCCAAAAGTAGAAAGTATTCAGAGAATGTTCCATAGACTATCACTGACAATCCATCTGCATATTCACTGAAAGGACAAGTACTGTGCTGAAAACAGGTCACCTGGTCCATTTTATTTCCACCTGTTGAAAATGACTCTGCCCGTCCTCCCTGGTGGTGCAAGGGATTAGGACGCAGCACTGCAAGCTAGCCATAGCCACTTCAGTGCGAGTTCGACTCGCAGCCCCAGAGGTGACCCACATGGCGGGCAGACCTCTCCTGAACCCCTGCTGCTCCCCTCAGCAGTGTACTTCATCGATCTGCCTATTCTGCTCCCCACTCTGTCTCTGGTGAATCCTCTCACTGCCCCTGCACCTCTGGCCTGTACCCCAGTTCTGAATGCATAAATAAAATAAATCTTTAATTAAAAAAAAAAAACCCTGGCTGTCAGAATGCTCTGACCCACAGAGGAACAGAGAATATAATTAAGAGTCTCCAACTAAGACCTGGGATTAAAAAGTATTCACTGCCCATGCTGAAAACAACCTTGTGCCCTAAATGGAAATCAGATCTAACACACAACCTCAGCAATCAGGACAACAGACTAGGATCAAAAAAACTAGTTTCTCTCTTCTCCAGAGAGACAACAGAACTTCAGTGATGTGGCCATAGATCACGTCACCCTCTCAAGAGGGCCTACTCAAAGAGATCCCAGGGAGCGTGGTGCTTACAGTCTGGTCATACTGAGACCAGGGAGGTGTGGCAAAGGCTAAAACAGGAAGCTGAGTACTAGCCACATGCAAGAATTCATCCAGAAAACACAGCCCTCCCAATACAAAGAACAAAGGAACTTGGAACTCCTGTTAGATTTTTGAGAGCTCTTTCAGATTTTTTTGACTTGTCCAGTCACTAAGCCATAGGATTCTCTCTCAAATCCAGAGAGTCCAACTCAAAGCAGTTAAAATGGCTTTGACCTCACCCAAAGGTCATCTCTCTCAGAGCAGCTAGTAATATAGCCTGTCATACACACCTTGCCCAGCCAGAATCAGGCACTTAACACAGAAGTATAACTTTAGTGTTACTCATGGAGGTAATCAGGTACTGGCCCTTTAACAAAGATCACCTCTGCCCTTAACCAAACTAAAACTATGCACCCCAAGAGTGACGCCCAGAAATAACTTCTTGCTTCGTTAGAAAAAAATTATTTCTTTCCAAATTCAAACTCTTACTAACACAGTTACTGCGAAGAACTATCAAGCAAAAGCCAAGTATTGTCTCCAGCCACTGAAAAGTGTGTTTCATTCTTACAGATAAGAGACAAATAAGTAAAGGATTTCCTTCAACTTTCTCATCCTGCAGGCTTACTAATTGTCACCCTGGAATCATAGGTTAGCAGGAAATGGTAATGTGTATCTTAGAATATTATCTGGTATAGTCCACCTTCAAAGGAAAGATGTTATCACATCCATTTTACACATGAGACACCTGAGGTACTTATCTGAATAGCAAGTAGGAAAGAATCAGAACAGAGTTGCTACCTGCTGATGTAGGGCTCTTTCCACCTGACCACCAGGCTTAAATATAGATTCCTGTTCCACCTAAGTAGATGGCAAGGAAAAAAAGCACTAAAAAGTTAATTAAAGAGGCCCTCATGGTGGCGAAAGGGGTTAGAGTGAAGCACTATGAAGCTGTCATCAGCCATTGCAGCATGAGTTCAACCCCAGGTCAGGGAGGTGACCCACATGGTGCAGCAGACTTCTCCTGTCTGGTCCGCTGCTCTCCTCAGCAATGTATTTACTCAACCTGCCTGTTCTTCTCCCCACTCTGTCTCTGGTGAATCCTCTCACCACTCCCTGCACCTCTGGCCTATACCCCAGTTCTGTGTGCATAAATAAATAAATCTTTTTAAAATTTTAATTAAATAAAGGCAACATGTTTCCCACTTTATTTGTTCCCAAGCTGAATCCTGACCCAGCCACACATGGAAGAAGCCTGTTTGGACGCCTGGACCCAGCACTCCTGCAGAACATCAGAATGACTCCTCACAAGGAAAACTCAGGATTGCTGGAACTGATGTCTGGACTGTGTTAGCCTGGCAGACAGTGACCCAGCCCTGCAGCGCCAATAAAGGTCAAGGAGGAAGGCCAGACAACATCCCTTGGGATCCCAGCAAGTAATCCAAGTGCCTGGGGTTACAGGGAAGGTTTATGCCAGGTCTCTGGAATTCAGGGCACACCGGTCAATCAAGTGTAAATGTCCTCTAGGGGAGGACAGGATGGGAGGCAGTCAGAACTTCACTTCCAGGGTGCCACAAGTGTCCAGATCGAACCCCAACACTCCTAGAATCATTTTCTCCTTATTTATTTGCTTCTTGTACCTCCATCAACATTTCCTTTTGGTTTTGTTTTGTTTTGTTTTGTTTTGTTGTTTTTTGTTTTTTACTTTTTAGGAAATGGTTTTCTTGGGAAACCAGATCAGCCAATAGGGATATCAGCGCAAAAGGCTGAAGAAAACCCAGATTGAAAACAGCTATTTCAAAAGAAGGAATTCTGGAATTTGATTTGGACACCCAAAAGGAAATGCTTTGTTCCTTTCACGTTTCTTCAGGCTCAGAAAGCCCCCTTTTTGGGAGGGGGAGACGATGATGGGGAGCACCTTCTTATCCTGCTTTATCCGGACCACGAAGGTTTCTGGGCACGACTCCACAGCACTTTCCTCGCCTCCCTCACGCTTTCTCACCCTCATTTCGCTTCTCCTTTTTAAAAAAAAAAAAAAAAAAAACTAAATTGCCCCCGAGAGGCAGGAGAGAACTCGGCGTCTTGGCACAGTAACTCCAACTTTCCGCCGGAAGGAAATTATCAAAGGCGAAGAAGAAAGCCCTCCGAGGTCCAGGCGGCGGCGATCGTGCCGGGGCCCCGCGCCCGCGCTTCCTGCCCCAGCTCTGGGGTCCCGGGCGCCCCCGCCTGGCCCAGCCCCCAGTCCGGCGAGGCTGAGCGGAGCCCGGGAAGCTGGTCTGACTCTCGAGCAGGGAGAGCTCCCGGGCAAGCTCGGACCTGGACCCACCCGGGGCGCGCGCGGAGGCGGGGGACCGTGCCCCAGGGACTGCGGGGCGCACCGACGAGGGCAGTGCAGGGGAGAAGAGGCTCCCAGTGACGAGGGGGCGCGGGACGTGGGAGGCGCGCCGGTCTGGTGTGGCCCCGGTGGGTGGCAGCGTAGGACTCACCCCAAGAAGACACACTTTGAGCTCTCGTATCGCCATCATGAGCTCGGGGCCGCTTCGAGCAGGGGTTCAGCATCCTCCGGGGCCGGGGCCGAGACCCTGGCCGCGCCGAGCGTCCTACAGTCTCCGCCTTTCCCTCGCGGCAGCCCGCGGGCGGGACCGCAGCCGCTGCTATTTCTGGGCCGCCGGCCCCACGGTGGGTCACGTGGCCGCCGGCCGGCTCCTCCCGGGGCTTTGGGGCTAACCTCCTAGGCCCCCACCTCCCAGGAACGCCCCTGGACGGCTGCAGCCGCCCTTGGTGCCGCCCCTGGGATCCGTGGCGTCCCGAACGGATAGGATAGCCTCCTCGCTCTGACCAGCAACAGCTGGATCTGGCTCTACATAACCTCTTGGGGCATCTACACCTACCAACCCCGCCCGGCTGACCTGCCCTCCTGGGGTGGAAGATGAACAGGCTTGGCAGTGGGAAGCCCCACTGAAGAGTCCATTCCTCACCTGAAAAGTGGGTGCCACCAGCGGAGGTCATTTCCCTGGGAGCACTTTAAAGTCTATGTGCAGTCCCTTCACTCAATGACATTATGGTTTCCAGGCAGAAATCAAGTCAAACAAGTGCTGCCTTTACAACTGTCAGGGCTTCTATTTACTTCCAGGAGTTCTTCCCATTCAATCCTGAGTTCTCTATGTCGTTGACAGTGGTTCTAGAAGCATTCTTCCCTCCAAAACAAATATGTCCATGTCTAGAGAGGAAACTGCCCTGCTCAGTATAGAAATCCTGCAACTTCCCTGGACAGTCACCAGCCCCTTAACCACAGCTGGAAAGAAAAATGGAGGCCCCGCAGGCCGCTGCATCCTTCTCAACCAAGAAATATAAAACAGCCTCTGGCTTGAAACAGGCAAGGAAAGCTAGTTCAGCTGTCCCCTTTTCTTTTTAAGATTTATTTATGTATGCATACAGAACTGGGGTACAGACCAGAGGCTCAGGGGCGGTGAGAGGATTCACCAGAGACAGAGTGGGGAGCAGAACAGGCAGGTAGTGGAAGCACCCTGCTGAGGGGAGCAGTGGGCTAGACAGGAGAGATCTGCTGCACCGTGTGGGTCACCTCCAGGGGCTGGGGATCCACCTCTCACTGAAGCTGCTGCGGCCAACTTGCAGTGTTGCACTTTAAACCACGTGCCACCAGGGAGGGCCCCTTTTCTAATGCAGCACCCAGTGTATCGCCTAATTCTCAAAGACAGGTAGAAATGTCCACCTTTAAAATAAGGATTATTTCCCTCATATGTGGAATTTAATGAACAGAGGAAAACAAAACAAAACAAACTTAGAAATCTAACTACAAAACTGAAGCTAGCAGAAAGGGAGGTTGGGAGTGGGCAGCAAAGTGTGGAGGGGACTAGGTTGGAGGACCATGGGGTCTTGGTGATAGGTGTGGTGTGGGGAGAGACATCTGAAGAACATGACCCCATAGCTCTGTGTCATATTATGTTTTATACCGATATTTCCTTAATTTAAAAAAATACAATTAAAAAAAAAAAAAAAAGACAGGACCTCTCTGGTGGCACAAGGAGTTAAGCTCAGAACTATGAAGCTATGCCTATCACAGCAAGAGTTTGCCCCCAATCAGGGAGCTGACCCACATGACACAGTAGACCTCTGCTGTCTTATCTGCTGCTCCCCTCAGCAGTGTCTTCCAGTACATCTGCCTGTCCTGTTCCCCACTCTGTCTCTGGTAAATCCTCTCACTCTCTGCACCTCTGGCCTATACCCCAGTTTCAGTATGCATAAATAAGTAAATCTTAAAATAAATAAATAAAAAGAAAAGAAAATTCAATCTTTGGGACATATCTACTTGAAAATTAACTAGCATTAGATAATTCATTAGCATATAAAATATGTGCATATTTTAAATGCATCCCATATCCCTAACTCTCCAGCCTCTCTTCCTGACTTTCCAAGTTTGACACAATGACTCCCATTCTCCTAGTGGATCAACTACTTTGATTATCTGACTTTGCTCCTTTTGAAATCTTTTTTTTTTTTTTAAGATTTATTTATTTGTGCATACAGAACTGGGGTACAGGCCAGAGGCTCAGGGGCGGTGAGAGGCTTCACCAGAGACAGAGTGGGGAACAGAACAGGCAGATCAACGAAGTACACTGCTGAGGGGAGCAGCGGGCGGGTCAGGAGAGATCTGCCATGCCATGTGGTCTCCTCCGGGGCAGGCGGGAATCGAACTCATGCGGAAGCGGCTTTAGATTCTCAGTGCTGTGCTTTAACCCGCTGCGCCACCAGGGAGGGCCAACTCCTTTTGAAATCTTACTGAAGATACTCAGTACCCAATTAATCCTATATAATAGGGACTTGGGTTTTTTCTCCAGAGAGAAAAATCCTGGCACACGAGAGTGAAAATAGACAGTTGACAAATTTCCCAGGATACCAGGAGCTTCCCATGGCCAGGTGCAGGCTTGTGGAGGATTATTTACTTATACAAATCTGACTAAATTGTTCAAAAAGTAACCAAGACCAGATGCTGTCTCTATTCAACTTGAAGATTAGTGTCTCCTATCTGTCCTTGGCTTAGTTTCAAAGTTCAGCCAGTCCCTGTGTGGGCCTGCCAGAATAGCCCCATCGTGCTCATAATACCAGGCTGTGCTCAGACTTGGTGCTCAGAGAACAACTACCACATAGTTGCCAGCCACAGCTTGATAAAGCAGCAACTCGGCCAAGGCCATCCCTCACAGCGTGACTTGAGTCTCCATGTAGAAGTGTGTCTTCTTTTTAGCTTTTCTTTTCACTTCCCAAAAGCCAATTGCCAATTCAGTGGAAGCTTTTCCACCTTTCTATACCTTATGGAGTAGCCTACTGTAAAATTACAATAGGTCACCAAGATCTGGACCACCCTGAAAGATAGCTTTCCCAAGATGTTCATATAGTCATGCCCAAGAAGTTCTGCTAGTTCTCCCCAAGACTTGCAGAACAGGCCTTCCAAAGAGGGGTCACTTCAGCATGAGGATTATTTTGAGCCAAATTCAATAGAGGCCTTGCAGACTCATAAACTTTTACTACTTCCTTGATTACCAGAATAAAAGTTGGAGGTGTTACCTAGAATTAAGGATTTTACCAGAAATAAACTTTCTACCAGAAAAATCTGTCTATTTGATAAGGCCAAGATCTACTTACAGAACATCTTAGTCACCTCCTCCTTGTCATGTGAGTTCCCTCTCTCTTCTCCTTGAAGCCTTAGACCCCTATTGCATTCCTTACTTGAGGACCTTCATTTTGCCTCATTAACTTTAGAATCCACAATTATATGAATTTTCCATACATAGTTGTTTAAATATTTCATCTACTAATATGTCCAAAATTATTCTGATTGTTCAACCAATTGAGAAAAACCAAAAGGAGCGGGGAATATTTATTTTCCACCCGTATAGTCCTAAGACAATAAGTAACAGATAAGATTTTTCTTCTTGCCTTTATGTTTCTTTGATTCTTCTCATTCCAATCTCTGTCACTAGCTTATGAATTGGGGATCCTTGTGTCATTTCTAGTCTCTCTTGATGTAATCCCTTATCCAGATCTTCCTATCACCACACCAGAGAGTCACCCTATCTATTGCTCTCCCCTGTACCCAGCCCTATTAAAAATTATTACAGGTCAACCCTAATGTGAAGTGTGTTGGCCTGACTGTGGGTCCTCACCCCCACACTTTAAAGGGACGTATAATGAAACTCAACATCAGGCACACACAAAAAGTTTAATAAAGGGTTTACTTACAAAACTGCAGAAAGAAATGCAGAAGAAGTGCAGAAAGTATTAACTCAGGGAGAAAGAGAGGGACATAAATTGGAGTGTCCTGCCAGTTCCACTGAGCTAGAACCCCAATAACATGCTGAAAAACAGCAAAAAAAAAAAACAAGGCCCCCCAAGGCCCACATGTCCAGTTATATACCAAACCTGGCTGCTTACCTCCACCCTCAGTGCCCAGGTGGTGATGGCCTTATGGGATTTGTCGACATTGATGTCTTGAATCTCTTTGGTCTGTGGCTGGGGGAGGGTCCATAAAGAATGATTAGGACATTCTTTCCACCCAACAAAATCGCATCAGTTGTACACCTTCTAGGCAGTTTGAACACTCAACAAACAGCAGTTCTAGGCTGTTAACCAGATTGTGCTTGTGGGTTTATGCCCAACCCACAACAGTAGCCTCATGAAAACCCCTGTCCCCATCAACCCAAGGTGATGCCTGAGGATCTAGCCCAGAAAGAAAGAGTGTTAACTCCTATCATACATTTTGGGGAATGACAGGTACCCCCATAGCCTTCACCTTTTTAAAGATACTATGTGCTCTTGAAGGCATAATGTTCTCTCTGGGTGTTATTAGACTATAATTAGTACTAAGGGCTCCTCCTGACATGGCTAGAATTTTCTGTGAATACAAAGAGTTCTAATGTAACTTAAGCACTGATAAAAATTCAGTAGTAAATAACTGAAAAAATTACCAAATAAAACCATAGAATCTTCAAAATTGTCTTTTGAACACTTTGTAAAGACCAAGTTGTACTAATTCAGACTTCTGCATTTTCGCTGCTTAAAAGTCTTGAACAACACCAAACTCTCACCAAAATAAGCCCAAACTTGTTAGCATCTTTCAATTCCCAGCACAAATTAGCCTCCTCTAACTTGTTATGAAAGCCATCAGCCTTCAACAATCTACTCAAATTCCATCTCTTGAGCAGAACTTCCCATGAGCTTGCTCATGGCTCTGTTCACACTTAACATTTACTTAGATGAGAAGATCGCCAGGTTTAAAAATGACTAGAAAAAAAATTAAGTGCTAAAAATGAATCTTTTTGTCTCATTTTAGTTAGGACTTTTCCCCTGCAGAATCTTTGCCTCAAACAAGGCTACTCTCTGGATCTGGGGAACACTCTGTGGATCTGGGGAACACAGTCATCTTCATGATGTGGCCCTAAGGTCCAGGGCTGTCTGCATAATAGGAAGGTTGAGCATTGAGTGCTCCTTGTCCTTGGACTTCATCTCAGAAGGTTCTACCTAGGTATTTCTTTAAAAAGAAAAGAGCAATTCACCAACAAATACTGAGTACAAGTCTATCCAGTGACTAGAAAAATTATCCCACTCTTTTAAAAAATCTAGCAAATACAAGTTGCTACCATAAAATTGATGTTGTTTTGGATTGAGCAAGTCCTATTTTGGACA